GTTTCCAGAAGGGCTTAGCACAATCTGGGAGAGAGTGGATCTTACTAGCAAAATCGTTATTTCTGAGATCCACCATCCTGGCCTGAATGATCTTTGTTAATCGATTACAATTGATCTTCAAGTTAGGCAGGCCAGTACGCTGGTACTGCCTACGAATGGTGTTACGGAGTCTAATGAGATCTTTGGTAGGGCTGTCAAGGTTCAGAGTGTTACTCACCTGTCTGGATACTGGCACGTGTTGTTCCCTGGCCCGGGAAATCGCCTCCTCGATGGTTTATAGACACCGGTCAACATCTTCCGACGTCCCCGGTTGAACATCCTAGTCGATGATTGTGTCGACGCAGTGTTGATATTGCGCCCAGTTAACTCGATGGTAGTTGCGCCGGGAAGCTTCGAATCGGTTTACCGAGGATCCAACTTCGGCCACCACAGGTTGCGAGACGTTGTGTCCCATGTTGCTTACGAAGATGTCGATGGTCGAATGGACCCCAGACCGACTCAACCGGGTGGGAGAGTCCGGGGCCAAGATGGTATAGTGGCCCTCTTGCAGGTCTTCATTGAGGATGATGCCGTTTCTATGGCTCCGACCGTTGCTCCAAGCTTGATGTTTTGCGTTCAGATCGCCAGCGATGATAAAGTTCCCGCTCCTCCGGGTGAGTTTGATGATGTCTTTGCGGAGGGCCACTGACGACCCGTCCCTGATGTTGGTTTGCTTGGGGCAGTAGGCCGCGATGATGGTGATTGGGCCAAGTGATGTGCTCACCTCCACTCCGATGGCTTCAATTGTTTTCAGCTGGAAGTTTGGTAGCAGTCGGCAACTGATGTTCCGTCTTGCAGCGATGGCCACTCCTCTACCTCCAGAGCAGGTGCGATCAAGTCTGACGAGCCGGAAGTCGGGAAGGAATACGTTCAGTTCGGGCTTCAGATGCGTCTCGGTGATGATAGCAATGTCGACCTCCTTGGTGTTGAGGAAATCGAGTAGCTCTCTATGCTTGTTCGTCAGTGAGCAAGCGTTCCAATTTGCAATTTTTATAGCTTCACGGTCCATACTTGGTGACGAGTGACAAGGCAGCATGAAGCTGTTCAGATCGAGTCTTGCAGGTACGCATGATGATGATGACCTCGGCCACGAGCGTCACAAGTTCCTCCGAGGTGAACGGAGAATCGTCGACAGATTCACCTGAGACAGCACCAGTGTATGATAAACCAGGGGCGGTGGATGAACCTGGAATTGGCTGGGCCGCAGCAACAGCGAGACGATGCTGAACTGTCCGACTGTTGGGAACCATTTGGATACTCGCAGGATTGGCTTGTTGGTTGTTGAGCGGAAGCGGGTTCGGAACATGTCGACGGGGCTGGAGAGCTGGGTACTGGACTTCCGTTAGTACAGGAGGCGAACGATGATTACGAAGGCGACCGAGCTGGTTGTTGATTGTGGCCTTCCGATGGATATTAATGAACTTGGGACATCCGCGATTGGAGGCTTGGTGGTTTCCACCGCAGTTGACACACGTTGGCTCGATGTCATCGACTTGCTCACAGGACGCAGTTGAGTGAGTTCCAGCACACTTGCCGCAGTTTGTCTTCTTGTGGCAGTTTTTGGTGCCATGGCCATATGAGAGGCAGTTCATACACTGCGCTACATCACGATGTTGGGGTTTGTAATGCTCCCAACTGATGATGACCTGAAACAGGTCCCGGATTTTGGATCCCAGAGCCGCAAGACTGGTGGATCCCTTCGTGGAATGCACCAGGAACAACTGATCACGGAAGCTGGTGTTTTGGTTGGGACGCCAGTTCATCTGGAACACGGCCGCAGGTTGGACCCCAAGCCGCTCCAGCTCGGACTTCACCGCAGCAGCCACGAACGACGGTAATCCACGCAAAACCACCTTCAGTGGCTTGCTCGATGGTAGATCATGCGTGAAGAAGTCCATGTTGTTGTTCTTCAGGAAGCTTCCTATTTGTTTGTAGTCCTCCAGGCTGAAGCACATGATTTTGGTACCGATGCTGCAAAGCTTGAAGCGAGGCAGCAGCTTGTGTTTTGCCAGTTCGGCACCCAGCTTGGCAACATCCTTCACCGGCGTGAAAAGCGGGGGAATCCTCTCTCGTCTTGCAATGGGAACAGCGTTACCATCGCCATTTTCTTCCGGGAGTACTGCATACTGGTTGGCTTGCAGTACTCGTTTTCCGGCGTCATCCTGCAACGCGCTGGGCTTGATTAGCACCTTCTTTGAAGGGCCCGCTGCTGGCTCATTGGCACGTTTACGCACCATATGTTTCGTGTTTGCAAGTTCAATTAAACTTGCCAGAACGTGAGAAGGTGGCGACACTTCCACGGCGCAACGCGACAGCACAAAACGAAACAAAATCGAATCGAGAACTCGAGCGAAAATACGGACTGAACAGCTCGACAGTCGAGCAAAGAATGACCGATGAGTGCACCATGCAGGCGGAATATTCGTATTTATACAATCGTGTGGATTGTCGATGATACCAGGAGGCAACCGATCCACTCACAAAAGGACTATGTTTCAGATAATATAGGTTAATATATTATGAGAGTCTATGAATTTCATTGATCAGTGGTGTTACGACCAACGATCGTGTACTTTGTAGCCGAGGCAGCTATGCACTGGACTTGCATCTTGCATCACAGTCCTACAGTACAGGCTACATCACAGTCCTACAGCAGCAGTAATGCCATTTATATTATATTTTGTGTCATACTTGTCATCGTGTGCCATGACGCGCCGATCAGTGTGCCACGATGTGTTTCGGCACAATGTGCAGAGTTGATTACCCCTTGATTCTACCCAAAGTTAAGTTTAATTCACGTAAATTTGAAAATGTGCAATTTACTCAAAAGTTAAGCCCAAGTACTGAACTTTATCGTTAGGTCGAATCTCTCGTTCCTTTTAACGAGTGCAAGTGAGATTTTTTCTCCGTGATATAGGAAAAACGTCACGAAAGGAAGGAGGCCCCCCCCTCCGGTTAATGTTTCCTCAATTTAGCGAGACATAATAAATGGATTGCCCCTAACAATCAATGTCGGTGTACCTCGGATGAACTTTATTTTTATTTTCTCAAAATGTCTTGACTTCTGTTCGCATCTGCAAATGCAAAAATTCCCAGGCTAAGCCTTCAATGTAACATACTAAGGCGCGGAAAATTTTTGATTCATAAATGTCACCGTACTTTGGCAACCAAATGTGCTGGTAGTTAGTCACAAATGCCACACAGGCTCTTACGCGTGTTCCATGTGACGTAATGCAACAGCCCACTAAAAGATGTCCCATCAAAACGCCTTAAATCTTTGATATGGGCTTCCTGTTGCGTCCCATGCCACACCACATGTATAGACATTGGGTAGGTTTTCATAAGTACCAGAGAAGCTCATCAAAGTGCGCCTTGAAATGCGCATCATAAGCACATACTAATCTTCATGGCCTACTCGCAAAGGGCATTTGACCTGTGAACCTCCCTCAACTGTCGTTGGTTGCGTCTCTGTGGTACCCGAGAGATGCGAGATCTTTAAAGCTGATGATGCGTTCATATGTGACGCGAGGACCGCCATCGCCTTGTGTGTAAATGGTGTTTTTGTTGCACCATGCGCCCATTTGCTGGGGCTGCGGTCGAATCATGAAATTAACCAGGCGCATAAATGTCACCTAGATGTTTGTACAGTCTTTCGTGAAGGATCATTACTTAAGGTTTGAGCAACTCAACGATATATTTGCGATTGAGGAGACAGATAATGGTTGTTTGGAGTGCCAAAATTTACACCCAATTAGCGAAGAGAACACTCAGTTCAACCATTAGGCTTATCAGCTCGTTGATCTTGATTGATGCTTCGTCGTCAATCGTAAATTGACCTCAAATCGAAGTGATTGGCCATCAATACTGCCATTCACACGTCCAAACCTGATGGTAACTTAAACCGTCATTATTATTCCCATTTCAATGCTTCTAATTGCGGAACACCCATCAAAAAAGTAGGCTTGACTGCATTTGCATGGTTGGTTGTTTACATCAGAGCCAAACAATCACACACACACACCTTCATCTTCTTCTTCTTTTTCTTCTTCATTTGCATGACCCCAACGTCACACCGTAGATCGACCTATGTCATTCATCGGAACTTGTATCGTAACCTTTTTCGCAGAAGGCACTTTAAGGTGTGGAGCTGCTTTCCCATTACGTAAGTAAACCCACATTTTAAATGCGTTTTACAACACTCATCTTCGCTGACTGCAATCCAATCGCAAATGAGGATCTAATGTCATCCGTTGTTGACGGCGTTGTGGTCATCGCGCTACACCCGACCCGGACCCGATCAGTGCAAATAATAATAACTTCATTAGACATCTTTTAATTTCCTTCTCTCGTAGGCATGTTGGTACTCCGGTTGCATAATGTGTGTTCACATTTTTTCGCTACACGATCCCGCATCACGGATCGGACAATAACAACAACAAAGTTATGCGCACGACGAAGAAGCGCGGCCCTAACTATGATCGGTTGCAGGAACATCATTGACCATCATCATCGTGAATGTTTAAAGAGCAGAAGAAGCAAAAACAAGCATAGGCATAATTTCCAACGCATTCCAAAAAAACATAACCAAAATCACGCGTCATCTTCGAAAATTTAAACTCCCATACGAAAGAGGTTAGAGAACTAAACCATACTAGGCTTGACAGTATCGTAGCAGACACGTTTTCTCGATGGTGGATGAATGGAATGACGGACGAAGATGGCCCTGCGATCGTCCACCCACTGATGCTACACACACATGTCTTGGCAACCAGTCAGGGATGAAACTAAACGTGAGTTCCGGTGAATTATTGAAGCTTTGTGCGTTTTGTTAGATTTCCAGCGAATAATGCAAAAGCTCGACAAATAACAACGAACTTCGCCAACATATGGGAAATGGCTCTAATGTTGGCCTTTGGATTATATCCATCGCTCAAAATCTGCTGTTTATCAATTTTATCTAGATGAACGCGTCATTTGGACGGTACTGTTGGATATTTTTGGTCGCTAGACCAGTTCGAACATCGCTAGATCTGCTACGTCCACCAACACAGTTCCACAAGATCAAGAATTCGAATCAAGAAGCACAATTCAAACGTAAGCATGGCACGAAATCGAGAATCTACATTCCTCAGGATCTCGTCTGGACCAAGGTGTTCCGAAATAACAAGTGGAGCTGGGATGCAGGAACAGTAGTGGAACGCCTAGGGAAAGTAATGTACAACATTTGGCTACCGACAAAGCAAATGCTCATAAGATCGCATTGCAACCAGATGAGAACTCGCTATCAATCCGATGAGCAACAACTGAAAACACAAACACCAGCAGAATCCCAACTTCCTCTGAGCGTCCTGTTGGACAGTTGCGGTCTATCTACGACATCGTCTCCGGAAGCAGAAAACCTTCCGGATTCGCCGGAACAACCTCAGCGGCCAACTCAACGTTGCAACCAACGCCGTCCCGTAAGCAACCAACAGCAACAACCGATTCCTACACGCCAGTCTACGAGGCTTTGTAGACCGCCCGTGAGGTATGAACCTTACCAACTCTTCTAAAAGGGGGGCGTTTTGTAATTGTTCTTTTACTACAATAAAGTTATTTTTAATTTGTTCGTGAATCTCGCGCGTACACTCAATACAAACCTATATTGCAACAATAAATATGAAACTTTGAATGAGTATATAATCAGAAATATCATTAGAAATAATTAGTAGACGTTGAATTTGTGATGGCTACACAGTTCGAAAAAGTAGTGTAAATTTCTGTTCAATATATATTGGAAATACATTCAATAAGTAATTGTTTGAGTGGCTCTTTAATCAGGCGAAAAACAAGAAAATTGTATTTTATTTCAGATATTTGGAAAATGTGTAAAACATAGTATATAACTCTAAACGATATCCAAGGTAATAGCCTAAGTGAAATAGTGCAGAGAGTAAATTTAATCACCAAAGTTACCCCGTCTTACGGTACATAATTTGATCGGACTATTAGAGCTCGTCCTTTTCAACTGATTCTTATGTCAAATGGGACGCTTGCATGTGTCGGTTTCATTTCCTGTTATACCAAGTGGTAGATTTTGGCTTCTTTTAAGAACGTTACTAGTGCTGCCGAGGCCGGAGTAACGAGCAGATCGCTGATGCTGGAAGTTAGGCAGAGTGACTCCGGAAGATTTTGGAACTCCGGGCAGTTGCACAGGATGTGTTCGACGGTGTAGGGTACCCCACAGATGATGCAGCTTCTGCGGAACGGCAGGCCACCATAGTTATAGTAGAGGTCGGTCCGAAGCCGCGAAATCACGCGTTGATCCTTCAGGTTGTCCAGTTTGCTCCATGGTTCAGTTGACCCTTTGACTTTGCGGATGAAGGCAGTTCTGTTGCGGAACCACTCGGCCTCCCATGCCGCTCAAATGGTCCGCATGATCCACCGTCTGACGTCCTGTAGGGGTACCTTGTTGGTGAATCTAAGACCCGATGTCCCGGCTCCGGCAAGGTGATCAGCAGACTCGTTACCTGGCACTCCGCAGTGTCCGGGAATCCATGTGTACACGGTGTTCGGTTGGGCGTACTTGATAATCGCCTGGATCCATGGGTGTTTTGGTGCTTCCGAGGTGTTCGCTTGAACGACGATGTATGAGTGGGTTAAGATAAGTATCGGTTTGCTGACTGGCGTCGTAGCGGCATGGAAGATCGCTGCAGCCTCGGCCGAGAAAACCGAGCACTGCGGAGGAAGACTGCTGCTTTCAGCAATACCGTCTCCGAAAATCCCGATACCTACTCCGTTTATCGATCGGGAGCCGTCGGTTCTTCGGCGACCGATCTGCGCAAAATCACGGATGCATCCCCTGCTTTGAAGCGGTTCTTGATCCAATTGTCCAATTGGAAATGTGAAGAGTGCCAACTTTTCTCTCCATGCCAATGGGCTTTGGCCACTTGGGGGAGGCAGGCTTGATGGAACCTCGCTCGCGAGTTTGAGATAAGCCGAGCGTAGCATTTTTCTGAGGAGTAGAATGCCCTACTGCCAAATCATTCCACTGAGCTTCAGAGCTTGTGAGCGAAGGGGGATAAAATGAGAGTGAGGTTTGCTGCCATTCATGTTCATGTTTTCTAACACACGCTCTTACTCTCACTCTGGATGAACTCTGAGCTTCTTGCGTCGTACAAAAAAGTCATCCGGAGTCTCGAAAAGCGCGTTAACTTCTTCCATATTCCTGCCGCCACTCACTCGAGTTGAGGTCTGGCGCAAAATAAGTGTGTACAGTGACCACCCCTTGTACTTGATGAATGCTGCAAAACATGCGTGAATCTCAAACTATTTAGTTCACTAAATATGAAACTTTTAATGAGTATATAATCAGAAATATCATAAGAAATAATGAGACAACGTTGAAGTTGTGATGGCTACATTGGAAATACATTTAATGAGTGATTGTTTGAGTGGCTCTTTAGTCAGGCGAAAAACAAGAAAATTGTATTTTATTTCTAATATTTGAAAAATATGTAAAACATGTGTTAAACAGGTGTGTTTTCATCGGCAACTCTGGGTTCAATCCCAGCCGAGGTCGGTGGGATTTTTCTGAGGCATAACAATCTCTGGTCACGTCTTCCTCAATGGATGGCAATCGATGTCCGTCAGTGATTGGCACTAGATTGCGAAACAGAGACCGACGTTAAATAAAGGAATGAAGAAGAAGAAGAAGAAGAAGTAGTGCGTGTGTTTCATTTCAAGAAAACCCAGCTAGATTGCTTTTTCTCAGTGGTATAAATATAATCAAATTGAAGCTGAAAGCTTAAAGAATCGTTTGAATGCATTCAGCGAAGTGTTTTCATAAGAAAATCCAGTGAAATTAACGTTTCAATTTGCGTTGCCGAAAATAGTCTGTCATGCCGAAGCCGTATTTCCCCTAGTTAACTTATAACCACCGACAAACCGACATGAAACATAAACTTAACTCTTGATCGAGAATCTATAACGGCCGATTCAAATGTGCAGCGATCCCATCTGTCAAAACCATAGATATGTTTTATCTTGATAAAAATAATTTGTCCGAAATAGATTAGACACGAACCAACTCATAAATTTTGTACGCGTGTTCGTGGCTAGGATAAATGTTTACCGCGAACACGGCGGCAAATGTCAGTTTTGTGCTTTGATCAGAAATTTCTTTGTAATTTGTGGGTTTGTCTATACGATATCCAAGGTAATACCACAGAGAACAGACATCCAAGTCAAATTCCTAAAGTGTGTAAGAAATTTAGACATTTGAAACTAGCAATATCGTGGTGGCGCTAGTGTCGCTGCCCATCGACGTCGATAACCGGCAGACGTCATCTTAACATGATGTCAAAATTGTTGTGAGCAAATCGTTGTTTGTTAAAAACCGACCAAAACATGGGCCACAAGTGCGAGTTTTATTGGTGCGCAAATAGACAAGGTGTTACAGGGTGTTACCAAGCGAAAATCTTTTCACAATTTTCATAAATTGCCCGAACTACAGGAGATTTTCTTCTTACGTGGACTCCAAGTGCTTGCAACGAGAAGGTTATGTTCCGACCATTTCCCCCCGGAGGCTTTTCGAATTCCTGGAATAACGGATGCAGGGCGAGCAGTGTTCAAATCTTACCACATTTTTCTGAATTTAAATGAGGGCTAATTGGAGTTCACACCTTCACTGAATCATTTGAAGATACGCCGCCAGTGAACTCAAGAAAAGTCAGTTTTGCTCCTGACTACTATGCCCAGTTAAAATTCGAACGAAAAACGGTTGTAGATCCACAGGAACTTAGCATAGGAAAGAGCTTGGTTCCGCAGAAACTCGATTTATTTCCGTTGTTTTGTCTTGTTTGTTTTGAACTGATTTGACAGTTCATTTCGATACACGGTCAATAAGATCAACCCAAATTTTAGTTCAGTTTACTCATTAATCACAAAAAGTGATAACTCGAGTCGCAACATTCCGTATGGCGGCGCTAGTTTTCTTTCCTTTATTTAACGTCGGATCTGTTCCGCAATCTAGTGCCAATCTCCGACGGACATCGATTGCCATCCATTGACGGCAATCGAATGTGCAGGAAGGCAGCTTCCACACCTGCGTAGGATATTGCACCCATTCAAACACACATGGGCCGGGACCAACGGCTATACTTCCCTTCCGAAGGAAGACGTGACCAGAGATTTTTATGCCTCAGAAAAATCCCACCGACCTCGGCTGGGATTGAACCCAGGCCCATTGGGGTGTTAGAAAGCAGTCACGCTTACCACTACACCACCGGCGCCGGCTCTTTGGCGGCGCTAGTGTTTCTAACGTATTTGAATTTGAATTCTTACACATAATTTTTCGAACAATTTGTTTAAGCTTGGATGTCTGTTCTCTGTGTACCCAAAGCAAAATAGTGCAAAGAGTAAATTTAATGATTATATTCTACTATCAAAGTTACCCCGTGTTATGGTACATAATTTGATCGGTGTATTAGAGCTTTTCTGTAGATCAGATAAACTATTCTTGAATGTAGGACAATCTGCAGTATCTGTAACCTGTAAGGATGGATTGATCTCCACAGATCGAGGCTTTTCTGTATGTTCCAGTATCGAAGCACCCCCCGACTTTGCGAGCGCCGTATTTTTACCTTCGGGTTGAACCAATTTTCTATTTTCCGAAAAAAAAGAATCTGAAATGTCAAGTGAGTTTTGTTTCATTCGTCCAGAATAATAAACGTGTTTTGAAATCGTAGTAAAAAAAATAAGTATACTTTCGATTTCCGAAAGGCAGTCCAAGCTTTAAATCCGCAAAAGTACAGTTCGCTAATACCCAAACATTGGTCCTTCTAACCGGATAATGTCGGACCTGCAAAAGCTGATTAGCCGGAGGAACGCCCTCATGGCTCAAATCAATGTAGAGCTTTCAGTCGCGGACAACATCAAAGAGCGGAATCCGTCCCAAAGTGAGGTTAGGGACCGACTGAATCAGCTAAACGAGCTTGCTGCTAGTTTTCGGGAAACGCAGAGCTCCATCGAGGAGAAACAGGAGGACCCAGTAGCCACCGCATCGGTGCATTCGGTCAGGGAGGAGTTTTTCGGAATGTTCTACAGAGTGAAGGATATTTTCGAAAGTCATCTGGATGAGGTTGGATCTTCCGTGAGTCAGCAAACTGTTGCCAATCCAGCTTTCCATGCTCGGTAATGGCGGCCTGTTTGTATGAATAAATGTATCCTTCACTGTGTTTTTTGACACTAACTGGAGGGCGTATGTTGTTCCATTTTCTACTGTTCCTGGGAGAGGGAAAAAGAAGGGGTTGAAATTCGAACATCCAGATAGTGTCAAAAAGCACAGTGAAGGATACATTTATTCATACAAACAGGCCGCCATTACCGAGCATGGAAAGCTGGATACGGCCGATTGGAAGGAGGCACTTCATCTGCTCATCGAGACGCAGAGGAAGCTATTGTTGGATCAAGCGATGACAGCAAAAACCGTCGAAAATCTGTCGAAGTTTCCGATTGCTGCAATCAAACTTCCCGACGGAGAACAGGTGTCGAATGGTACACCCCAGTTGAATGTTCGGTTGCCTGCCATCCAGATTCAGCCATTCAATGGTGAACGTAAACAGTGGATGACGTTTAAGGACCTCTACGTGTCAACAATCCACAATCGGGCTGACATTACAGATGCGCTGAAAATGCAATACCTCTTTTCCTATCTGGATGGAGACGCCAAACGCTTAGTCAACAAGTTCCCTATCTCGGGTGTGAATTACGATAAAGCGTGGGAGACACTGGTCAACCACTACGATAAAAAGCGTTTCACAGTGTTCTCGTTGGTTCACGAATTCATGGCCCAACCGGCCGTAACTCCAGCATCGCCGCAGTCGTTGAGCAGACTAGTTACAACATCGGACGAGATTGTGCAACAGCTGGATGCTTTGGGGCAGGAGTTCAAAAGCCGAGATCCGTGGCTAATCCATCTCATCCTGGAGAAGCTGGACAAGGACACACGAGCCAGTTGGTCTCAAGAAGTAGTGGAGATTGAGAACCCAACGTTCGAGGAACTGCTGGAGTTTCTCAAAAAGCGCTGTGAGGTGATCGAAACTTGTTCTGCGTTCGTGAAGAAACCAGTGAATGAACCGAAGAAGGAAGTACAAAGATCGGTGCCAATCTCGACGAAGCTGAAGACGCTGTATACGTCAACAACGGACAAAAAGTGCGCGAAGTGCTCCAGTGAGCACAATACGTATCAGTGTGAAGAATTCAAAAATATGAGTGTGAAAGACAGACGTGAACTAGTGCAAAAGGCCAAACTGTGTTTCAATTGCTTACGGCCATTCCATTCGGTGAAGTCGTGTACGTCGAAGTCTGTGTGCCACAACACTGACTGCAAGCAACGGCACCATACGCTGCTGTGTCCTGTGGTGAAGAAGGCTGAACAACCGGAAGCAGAACAACAAGAAGATTCGGCGGAGGCCCCTGCAAAGGAAGAAAGTGCCATTGTCTCACTGGCGGCGGAAGTTCCGGAGAACAAGCAAAAATCTATCCCGTTGCTGCCAACGGCTGTTGTCAAGGTGCAAAAGGTGGATGGCGATTTTATGACAGCGAGAGTTCTCATCGATTCCGGTTCTCAAGCGTCGTTGGTGACAGAATCCTGTGTCCGGAAATTGCAACTACCACGACGGAACGGCAAGCTAGTAGTCAACGGTCTGGGTCAACAAGAGGTCGGAACGACACGCGGTGTGGTGACATTGCGCCTTGCATCTCGGTCTTGAACATTGAGGCCTACGTTCTTGGCAAACTGACTACCACAATACCGTCTCAGCCGTTCGATGTGGATAACATGAAGCTTCTAAATCAACTGGACGGGTTGGCGGATCCGGAATTCAATCAACCAGGCGTCATAGACATCATTCTGGGAGCAGACGTTTTTCTTGCACTCTTGGAGGGAGATCAAGTCAAAAACGAGAGCGGCCAAACAGTGGCCCAACGGACGATTTTCGGATGGATCGTAGCAGGCCGCTACGACGCTGCAGCTGTCATTCAATGCAACCACGCAATTCTCAGTCTGCACGTCGAAATGGATTTGAACCGCACCTTGCAGCAATTTTGGGAACAGGAGGAAATGTTCAAGCCACCATCGCTTACTCCTTCTGAGCAACTGGTTACTGATTATTTCAGTTCAACCCTGACACGAGATGATACTGGACGCTTCATTGTCAGACTACCCTTTGATAATTCGAAGCCAGCGCTTGGCGATTCTCTCGCTGTGGCCACGAAACGACTCACATGTATCGAAAGACGATTTCATCTGGATGCGGAGTTCAAGAATCAATACACTAACTTCATGCGTGAATATTTGGAGCTCGGACATATGGAGGAGGTTCCGGTAGCCGAAGTTCAGAAGGTTAGCGGTGAGTGCTACTATTTGCCGCACTACGCCGTAATCAAGGAAGACAGCTCAACAACAAAACTGCGCGTTGTTTTTGACGCGTCTTGTGTGTCATCATCTGGAGTTTCGCTCAATGACAGATTGTTGGCCGGACCAAACAATAACGCTGATATCTTCACAGTTTCGTTGCGGTTCCGTTCACATCGTGTGGCTTTCCGTGCGGATGTTGCCAAATTTTACCGTCAAGTACTGGTACATCCAGCGGACCGTGACTATCTTCGTATCGTCTTCCGTGAAGAACCCGATCAGCCGTTGAAGCACTATCGCCTTTGTACAGTGACGTACGGAACGAAAACAGCCCCGTATTTGGCAATCGAGGCCATGAGAGAATCAGCTAAGCCGTACGAAACCGTTTATCCGGAAGCAGTGAAGCGGATCAAGCTTGACTTTTACGTCGACGACTTCCTATCCGGAGCAGACGACGAGGAACAAGCAATCCGCCTGAAGCAGCAGGTGGTCGAAATCTTATCTTCAGCCGGGTTTGAACTAAGGAAGTGGTCGTCTAATTGTGAGAATCTTTTATCCAACCACTCTTCGGACGAAGCACAACCCGTACATATGAAGCTTTCGGATTACAACGAGGCAGTGAAGGCACTGGGCATCCTGTGGTATCCGTCTCGAGATGAATATGGATTCAAGGTTAGTTTTTCCCCGCACAGTGTCAACACTAAGCGCCAGATGATATCAGATTCGTCCAGATTATTCGACCCGTTCGGATGGTTGGCTCCTGTAATAGTCAAAATCAAAATTCTCTATCAACACCTCTGGCTTTTTGACATCGCCTGGGACGACCCGTTGCCGTCAGCCGTCGAACAAGAATGGCAAGCAGTGAAGCAAAATCTTCATCTACTCGAGTCCATCCGAATTCCACGGTGTATTTTTCCAAGCCGGGACCGTGTGCAGTTTCATGGTTTTTCGGACGCCTCCGAACAGGCATACGCTGCGGTGGTGTACGCGAGAACAGTCGATGATCAAGGCAACGTTTCGGTGGTACTCATTGCGGCTAAATCTCGAGTGGCGCCAATCAAGCAAGTGTCACTACCTCGTCTAGAGTTGAACGGAGCGCTGCTACTCACGGAGTTGATGCGTCGGATTACTGAAGCCTGCCACACCAGCAGATCGAACACTGGGCATGGACAGATTCGAGCATCGTTCTGCAATGGCTGTCTTCGCATCCCCGAAGGTGGAAGACATTTGTAGGAAACCGGACATCTGCAATTTTGGATTACCTGCCACGAAGCTGCTGGAATCACGTTTCTAGCAAGGATAACCCTGCAGACGTTGCATCGCGTGGACTATCACCAGATGAACTTGTCAACAATCAGCTATGGTTTCAAGGAGCACCGTGGCTGAAAGAAGATGAATCGGGTTGGAAGCGAAGCCCAGCACCACAGGTTGTCGACGAAGATTCGTTGGAGGTCAAACCGATCAAATCGTTGTGTACACTGACGACGAAAATAATCAACTATGAGGTTGAAAAGCAGCTAATCGTTAATTGTTCCAGCTTTTCACTTTTGGTTCGTTCCTTGGCATGCGTGTACCGTGTGATCTACAACTTCAAATCCGTCGTACTCAAGCAAGGCACCAGCGAGCGACACATTGGAGAGCTGACTTTGGACGAGCTATATCAAGCTAAGATACATCTGTTGCAAGCTGTGCAGCACGAGGTATACGGCCAAGAGTTAGATTTGCTGCGGAAGGGTAAGTGTCTCCAACCTAAGCATATCCTTTCGGCATTGCATCCCTTTTTTGGTTCAGAGGGAACCTTGCGTGTGGGCGGCCGTCTACATAATTCGGCCCAGCCATACGAAGTAAAACATCCAATCATCCTTCCACAAAATCATCGAGTTACGGAGCTACTAGTGCACGATCTGCATTTGCGCAACCTTCACGCAGGATCGTCTCTTCTGACCGCAATTGCCCGTCAACAGTATTGGATAGTTGGTTGCCAGACGGTAGTTCGGAAAGTAGTGCAGGGATGTATGCGATGTGTGCGACTCAAAGGCAAGACTGCTGGTCAACTCATGGGAACCCTTCCACCGGCAAGAGTGCTAGCCACAAGAGCCTTTTCACATGTGGGCATAGACTATGCCGGTCCTTTGAAACTGAAGGCAACATGCATACGAGGAATTAATATCACCAAGGGGTACATTGTGGTGTTTGTGTGCCTCTCAACTCGAGCAGTTCATCTCGAGGTAGCCAACGATCTCTCGTCGAACACGTTCCTTGGGTCTCTGAAGAGATTCATATCTCGGCGTGGTTGCCCTATCGAAATTCGATCGGACAATGGCACCAATTTCATTGGCGCCGATCGTATACTGCAGCAATTCATCGAACAGATTATGTCAAACAGTAAGGATGCCAGCCGTTATCTTTCTAATTTGGGAATCAAGTGGGTCTTTAACCCCCCATCGGCGCCGCACATGGGCGGTATTTGGGAGGCTGCGGTACGCAGTGTCAAGAAGCATCTGGTGGCAGAGTTGGGAGAAGGAGCAATTACGTTTGAGGATGTGTCTACAGTGCTGTGCCAGATTGAATCATGCCTCAACTCGCGGCCTTTGTGCCCCTTGCCCAGTGACCCTGACTGCGCCGAGGCACTGACACCTCGTCATTTTTTGATCGGGCAGCCTATGAACCTGGTTCCAGAACCCAACATGAAGCATCCGTCTAACCGCCTAGATCGGTGGCAAGAAATGCAGAGGCATACCGTGAATATTTGGAACAGATGGAAGGACGAATACTTAGCAAGCTTGCAACTGCGTAGTAAGTGGCGTACTTCTCAACCAAATATCAACGTGGGTGAATTAGTGCTAGTCAAAAACGATAACGCACCACCAGCACAGTGGGAATTAGCCAGAGTGGAAATGATTCATCCAGACGCATCAGGAGTGGTTCGGGTGGTGACCTTGCGCCGTGGCTCAACTGTGTACCAACGACCGATGCATAAGTTATGTGTGCTGCCGTCTGATTGAAGCCACTTGTGGCTTCAAGGCGGGGAGGATGTTCCAGTATCGAAGCACCCCCCGACTTTGCGAGCGCCGTATTTTTACCTTCGGGTTGAACCAATTTTCTATTTTCCGGAAAAAAGAATTTGAAATGTCAAGTGAGTTTTGTTTCATTCGTCCAGAATAATAAACGTGTTTTGAAATCGTAGTAAAAAAAATAAGTATACTTTCGATTTCCGGAAGGCAGTTCAAGCTTTAAATCCGCAAAAGTACAGTTCGCTAATACCCAAACACTGTACCCCCCTCTGTGCTGTCTGACTACACAGAAAAAAAGTTGTTGAATATTACATCCAAACTGCTGCAACCAGGTCAATCCAACGGTTGTGTAATATAACGTTGTACGATGTACATCGATTTTGCGAACAAAATTACATCCATTGATGTTATATTGTATCTGCTTTTTGCTATTACATCATTATTTCATACATCAGCTTGAATTACATTGATCGATATTACATTTGTTTTGCTGTGTACGCAGAAAGTTAACTCCACTGTAGGAGTTGGCACGGAAACCAAGAAAGCAATAACATTTCTTTCCTGAAATTGACCGGGAATCGAACTCGTCGTCTCTAGCATGACGTGCTACTGCAGAAATTCACATGCATAGCTATCGAAATAACCCTGGAAAATCCATACAATATTATTGAAAATCACACATAGGTATTCATCATTTCTCCATTTGGTATTTGAATACATACCACGACTCAATCAACCGTTGATGCTAGGGATTCCAATTAATATCTCATATTCACTTATCACCTCCAATGATCGGTATTATGCGATAAATTAATGACTGTTTTATTTTATTTTTTGCATCACGCCCTGTCACCTTTTGCCGACAACCATTTGCCGCACTCTTCCAAGCTATGCGGATCTTGAAACGAACCCTCGAGGGCTCTTTTGCAGACACATCATCTTCTTTCTTCTGCGCGTCGGCACCTTATACCTACTAGCTGCACCAGCCGCCGTCGTCATCGTCGTCGTCGTCGTCGTCGTCGTCGCATGAAGGGGAACCATCCGTAATCAAGACGTGTGATTTCACGAATGCGCCATTGTCGGCAAATCATTTTTTTGTGTGTTGCTTACTTCTTAACTAATTTCACCGCATGCCTATCATTTTTACCTCGTACGACTTGGGTCATACCGGTCTGGCAAATCATCGAATTACGTGCCACGCTCTGAGTCTCTGGTATGTTACACAGCAAAAAAAATGTAATATCGGTCGACGTAATACAAGCTGATGTATTCTCGTCAATCTAAGCAGTGTCCTCGCTTCTATTGGGATTTTCTCAGCGCCACGCACACATATGACAGGTGTGATTGTTTTCATTCGATTACTGCTTGCTGCTTCATGCATTTCAATTGACTGAATTGTCCAAAACTATTTTAATACGTTTTTACAACGCTCCAAGTTTGACTGAGGCTGTGTTCCATTTGGAAATTTTTCACTTAAATTTGACACTTCAAAAATAAATTATGATGTTCGAAAATCCCTCTGTTGTTGAACGGTCGATTTTCGAGAAAGCATCTGTCAAAGTTGATTCCTTGTCTGTCAGAAATAAGTCTGGTGGAATAGAAAGTTTATTTGAAAATTTTCCATCTGTCAAATTTAAGTGAATAACGGCGCCGGTGGTGTAGTGGTAAGCGTGATTACCTCTCACCCCAGCAGGCCTGGGTTCAATTCCAGTCGGCGCCGCCGGGATGTTCTGAGGCATAACATCTCTGATCACGCCTTCCTTCGGATGGGAAGTAAAGCCGTTGGTCCCCGGTTCATGAGTTGATGGGTCGATAGGTAGGGTCCAGGTGTGGGAGCTGCCTTCCTGGCACGTCGGTAGCATTGGTGCTCAGCACGGAAAACAAGATCGACGGAAACAACAAACCAAAAGGAAAAAAAAAAAAAAAATTTAAGTGAAAATTCACCAAATGGAAAACAGCCTGAGTTTGACTATTTTCGGCAACCTGTTCATTTGAACTGCGTGTTAGTATAAGGCAGACTTGGACTGGCTGGTTTTGAGCCAAACGAACTGTCAAAGCCATTTCATTGGCAGTGTTGCTAGAAATCACCTAGGCATAGGTTGCCAAGGCACTTTGGTTTGAATCCGCTCCTCTCTTATACTTCACCCTCTCTAGTGTTAACCAGCCGTTCTATTATCGGCAACTCGAAATCAGCCACATTCTGTAGTGCGCATGTTTCATTTATAGAAAAACCTGGCGAAATGCGTTTGCTCAATCGTAAAAATTGAATCAGATTGAAGTCGAAAGACTACACGAAACGGAAATTAATTATTTTATTCATGTTTTTATCAAAGCATCAGCCTTATACATTCCATAAGACAAACCCCATAGGTTCTATAAGAATGCATAAACGGTATGTGTGACCAATTATACATTTCATTTGACACATGATCTTCAATAACTTTTCGCAAGGTGTCTGCTTATTAGTTGACTTATACATTTTATGAATAATCAGCAATAGAAGTTTAAATACATTCAGCGAAGTATTTTGGTGAGAAAATGCAGTCAAATTAACTAGGAAAATAACGTTTAAATTTTGGATGCCGCATACAGTCAATGGGTGTAAATTTGGTCGCAAAACCTTTGTACATCTGTGCAGCAGTTTCGATGTAATATTCAGCAACATTTTTTTGCTGTGTACGTGCATCCCTCTGTTTCTCTGTCTATCCCCAAAGTGGCAGCCGATATGCAATTATAAGTGGCCGCAAGGGAGTTGCGAAAAAAAGGACCCACTCTGCACGACGTCCACTCTTAACTGCCGCGATGTAATTGTTAATCGACCTCCGAATCAGACGACAAGCCACATTGGCCAATTGTTGCCCGAACAGCTGGAAGTGGCGTAATAGCTCCGCGGTGCGGCGTGGCTTTCAACCTAGTCACAGAGTGTTTTTCACATGTAGCGTGTTACGCAATGTTCCATCATCGGTGGCTTCTTACCTTAATCTCCGAAAAACCGGACGAAACCGTAGATTTGTCTAAATTTGAATCGCCTTGGAAGTTCGATCCGATCGTTTCACACCTGGCGATCTGACGGGTGTCCACTTGAGCGCCTACGATTCACTCCTCATCAAGTTCGATTCCTTGTGGTGCGGCTTTCTTCTGTCAGATCTACGACAGTAAGTTTTCCTTTCAATCACAGCGTGCGCATGGTTTCAAATCGGAATCTGCAAACAAATCGTTGATGATACTCGCGACGACTCGTTGCCGGTACCAAACATGGATGATGCAGCAAGTATTGGCTGATTGGTCGTTTTTTTTTCTTCTCTTGTTGCTGCTGTTTTTGCAGCCCTGCCTCTTTCGCACGTTTTCACGCATTACAGCATCTCTTGAACACGAACGAAGCCCCTAATGATGGAATGCCTGGAGGCTACTTGGCGGAACTTGCTTCGATGGAGGCTCCACTCTGCACATGAAGATAGGGACCAGTCGGCACATTCCATCGAAAGCGAAAATGCCACTTGAGCGCTTTTAATCAATCAATTTTACACCTTTTTGCCGTTAATTGCTAAATTGAAGGAGCCGTTCCGGTGTAGATAACATGCGGTTGTTAGGGTTTGAATAATCTTAGCTTTTCGATGGTCTACTGTAAAAACTGGTGCTGATTTCCATTTCGCGATTACTTTTTCGAAGGGACGTATCGGCTTTTGTAAACAATGCATTTGATCGTCGATTTAGCGTAACTGGTAACTCGCACACGCATACTGTGTCCCAATTGGTAAGTTAAATATTCAACTCGTGGTTAAAAGTGACAGATGGAAAGTTATCGAATAGCCCTGATATCCGAGCGTGGTTACAGTATAGAAGATAAATTTTGACAACCGTGGCTGAGTTCTGTTTGGAAATCGATCGATCGATAACACCGGGATTTTAGACCATTGAAAATAACTTTCGAAATGTCACTTTTAATCACGAGATAAAAAATTCCCCTATCTGATGGTAGTGTTAGCATGCTTGCCGGCGCCGGTGGTGTAGTAGTAAGCGTGAATGCGTTCTCACCCTAATGGGTCTGGGTTCAATCCCAGCCGAGGTCGGAGGGATTTTTCTGAGGCATAAAAATCTCTGGTTACGTCTTCCTTCGGAAGGGATGTAAAGCCGTTGGTCCCGGCCCATGTGTGTTTGAATGGGTGCGATATCCTACGCAGGTGTGGAAGCTGCCTTCCCGCACATTCGATTGCCGTCAATTGATGGTTAGTTGGTTGGTTGTCTTTATTAAGGAGACTTTCAACCAGACGCTGGTTCATCTCCGGAGGATGGCAATCGATGTCCGTCGGTGATTGGCACTAGATTGCGAAACAGAGATCGACGTTAAATAAAGGAATGAAGAAGAAAAAGTGTTAGCATGCGTGGGCGAGCTACCTGTTACGCCAAATTAGCGATCAAATGCATTGTTTACAAAAGCTGATACGTCCCTTCGAAAAAGTAATCGAGATTTGGGCTGTGTTCCATTTGGTGAATTTTCACTTAAATTTGACAGATGGAACATTTTTCAATAAACCTGTTATTGTACCAGACTTCAAGCTGAACATTTCATTAGGTCCTAAGTAACATTGACAGATTCTCTTCGTCGACTTTCTCTTTGCATCCCCACGGCCATGTAAAGACATTCCCAGGTATTTTCAGCACACAGATCGATGAAAGAAGCTTTTATCTAGCATCTAATACGACAAACATAGCAAGAAACAGTTCTGGGATCAAGTTTTTACCGAAAGAGGAAGTCGACAAGGAGAATCGATCAATGTTACTTAGGACCTAATGCAATGTTCAGCTTGACTTATCTCTACCCAGGTAGAACCTAATGCAATGTTCAGCTTGAACTGATTCCTGCACGCTTTTTCAAAACTACCCAAATTTGGGTAGAATCCACCCAGATCTGTCAAAACTGAACCTACTCAAAAATGGGTAAACTACACACTTATTCTAGCTCGGTAAAATCTCCAACAGCCGATTACCTCGGCATTTACTTTTGCTGATATCTCTGCAAAATATCTGTTTGTTAGCAGATATCTCAGTGCCGGCGCCGGTGGTGTAATGGTAAGCGTGACTGCTTTCTAACACCCCGATGGGTCTGGGTTCAGTCCCAGCCGAGGTCGGTGGGATTTTTCTGAGCCATAAAAATCTCTGGTCACGTCTTCCTTCGGAAGGGAAGTAAAGCCGTTGGTCCCGGCCCATGTGTGTTGAATGGGTGCGATATCCTACGCAGGTGTGGAAGCTGCCTTCCTGCACATTCGAATGCCGTCAATGGATGGCAATCGATGTCCGTCGGTGATTGGCACTAGATTGCAGAATAGAGACCGACGTTAAATAAAAGAATGAAGGAGAAGAACAATAAGAAGAAGACCGTTATAATTTATTTTTGAAATGTCAAATTTAAGTGAAACTTCACCAAATGGAACACAGCCTTGGAGAATTTTCACTTAAATTTGACAATTCAAAAATAAATTAAGAAGTTCGAGTCTGTTGTTGATCGGTCGATTTTTTAAAAGGCGTCTGTCAACATTTTATTCCTTGTCTGGTAGCATAGCAGGTTTATTCTAAAAAAAATCATCTGTAAAATTTGAATGAAAATTCATCAAATGCAACACAGCCTGAATCATCCTCATTTGACTATCCAGCTTTCCATGTTCTCGGTAATGGCGGCCTGTTTGTATGAACAAATCTAGATCTTCTAAATCTAGACTTCAATCGATGATTTCTAGAAACTCAAGGCTCGCCCACGCAAACCAACCAACTCATCGGGTAGGGAAAGACTTTCTCTATCCGATGGTTATGTTGGTATGCATGGGCGTGCCTTTAATTCCTAGAAATCATCGATAGAAGTCATTGTTTACAAAAGCTGTTACACCCTAATTCCAGCTTTATCTAGAAATGTATCCTTCACTGTGCTATTTAAAATGCTTTCAATATTGTTTTCAGCGTATGAATTACACAAGGGGTTGCTCACTCCGCACAGTGTGCCAAAAATACATTTGGGCACACCTGGGCTCTTTCATTGGCACTTTTTGGAACCCATGCTTAGATTGTTTATGATTTTTAAAGTAACTGGCAACACAGCATTATCTCTCGGCGCCTGTGCAGTGCGCATGTGTCAAAATGTGTTTGTTGTTAACACCTACGTCTGACGAAGACGTGATGATTTTTTAACCAATTTGAACTGTCAAAATCGTACCAGTTTTGACTGTTATTTTAAGAACGAAACAGATATGAGGTATTGAAATCTGAGTGAAAAGTCAACCTTTGTTTTTTTCTCAGAAATAGCTTCATGATTGTGAAAAAAAATACGTATTCCATTTTATTATTATTTCGTTCTTATGAATTATCTAATCAAAATAAGCTAAATTATCAACAATCTTACATCATCATAGATGTGCTATTGAATCGTCTTTTCTTAATTCAAGCTAAACATTGCAATAGGTCCTTTGATCGATTCTCTGCATCGACTTTCTCTTTCGTTTATAACTTGGGTATAGAACCATTTCTTGTCATGTTTGTCATATTAGAAGATAGATAATAGCTTCTTTCATCGTTTTTTTTTTTTTTTTGACTTTATTAGAGAGATTTTTAGCCGTTGGCTAGTTAATCTCTATAAAATATGAGGCTCCAGAGGGGGTTTCTGTCTGCAAATTTTGTTACGGAGTTGGCTTACAATTCACATGTACTTAAATAGAAGCAATTAAAACAGATTCCAGTAAAAAGACTAACAATACAGGCAACGAAAAAAAAGCAATCTGGTACATCAGAGTTATGTAGGCTTCATTCATCGATCTGTGAGCTGAAAATAGCTGGGAATTACTTAATATGGCCGTGAAGATGCAAAGAGAATGTTGACGAAGAGAATCTGTCAATGCCACTTAGTTTTGGCGGCCAGCGAACAGAGGAACAAACGTCGGGAATCGGATAAAAACGCGAAGAGAAAATCGTACCGGAGAAAATACTCGTTACAACGTGTTCGTTTTATATTGTTATTTATTTGGATGAACAAACGTGAATACAAAAGGAAAACTTATAACTATCACTCGCATGTTAATGATGTTGACAATGATGATGACGATCAACATACCAAAAGGGTGTATTCGCGCATAAAACACCGAACATAGCAGGGCTGCCAACACTCCTCCTCGTGAATTCAGCCTTTACCTTCTTCATCCAGTTTACCAACCAGACCCAGCTCCGTAGCGAATTTCTTGACCTTTGCAGCACCTAGTGATTTTGCCAAGATGTCCGCCACCATCATCTCCGACGGACAGTACCTTAACTCCATAGTTCCAGATGACAAAAGCTCACGAGTGTAGTGGTACCGCGTATCGATGTGTTTCGTTCTCTTCTTGTGTTAATCAAGAGCCACAAAGTCGAGGCAGCTCTTGTTGTCTTCAAACACTACGGTAGGTTTGACCTGTTCCTCGTGCAAATTCTTCAACAAATTCCGAAGCCTCACGACCTCATGCGCAGCCTCGGAGAGCGCGACGTACTCCGCCTCCATTGTGGACAGAGTCACGCAACCCTGCTTTCTACTGACCCAGTCCGGTCGACTGTTCGTTGCGAGATATAACAGTGAACCGATGAGACTATGGTACTCTTCATTGTCTTTAAGGTTCTTCTCGTCCTTGCTCAACTTGAAATAGCCCTGGTCCATCGGGTACTTGGACCCCTTTGCTTATTCCTTTCCGAAATACTTGAGTAGTTTCTTGATGAAACACTCCTGGCTGAGACTGTAGAAGCCGCTCTCGTCCTTCTGCACTCGAATCCCCAGAAAGCAAGTTATTTCACCAAGCTTCGTGATCTGAATCTTCTCCTGCAGCGCTCGTTCGATGCTTGCAATCTCCTCCTCCTGCGCACAAACCACCAAAATATCGTCTACGTATAACAGCAGATAGATCCATCCTCCACTGGCTAGACGCTTCCGGTACAGGCACGAGTCGCTCTCACACTGACTGAATCCAAGTTTCATCAGGATTTGGGTTATCGTTTGATGCCAAACCCTGGCCGCTTGCTTAAGGCCATATATACTCTTCCGCAATCTGCAGACTTGGTGCGTCTTCTTCTGAACTACAAAACCCGGCGGTTGTCGCATGTAGATTTCCTCACTTAACGATCCGTAAAGGTAGGCCGACTTGACATCCAAGTGCTTGACTGTCATTTTCTGCCTTCTGCCAACAACACACGAAGGGTCGACTGCATGGCAACCGGAGCGAAAATCTCCTTATAATCGGTACCGAAACACTGGGTAAACGCCTGCGCTACGAGTCGCGCTTAGAATCTTCAACTTCCCCTTCGGCATTCAGCTTCTTCCGGTATACCCACTTGCTGCCAATTATGTTGCGATTGGCCGGTAGGTCTACCAACTCCCACGTACCACTCGAGATCAAAGACTGGTATTCTTCTTTCATGGCTTTCAGCCACTCCTCCTTTTCGGGTCCACCAATGGCTTCCTTAAAGGTTGCGGGCTCGTTCTGCTCCATCGCTACGAGACCCAACTCGTAGTCCCTGAATCGAACAGGTAGCACATTTCGTGTTGACCTTGGATGCTCTTCCGGTCGCACACCTCTCTGTTCTTCACTACCGTGCACTAGTTCTTCTTCTTCTTCAGAATACTGTTCTTCGGCACTTTCATACTCGAGCATATCGTTTTCTTGAACAGGCGCTTCGTCGATCCTCACTAACGGTACTAGTTCCACAGTTGATTCAACTGGCTCAACGTTTTCGAAATTCTTCCACAAATTTCACATCACGACTTATTGTGATACGATCACTACCCGTATCAAGAAAACGATACGTATGCTGGTTTGAGTAACCAACAAACATCATTTTCTTCGACTTCACTTCCATCTTCTTTCTTCTCTCGGCTGGAATCTGTACCCATGCTTTGCAGCCGAAGATCCTGAAGTGCTCCAACGACGGCTTCTTGCTGTACCAGCGCTCGAACGGACTCATGCCGATGGACTTGGATGGCAAGCGGTTCTGGATGTAGGTCGCCGTTAAAACTGCTTCACCCCAGAATCACTGATCTAAACCTGCCTCCAGCAGCATACACATCGTCATCTCCTTCAGGTAGCGGTTTTTTCCTTTCCGCCACCCCGTTTTGTTGGGAGGAATACGGAGCCGTGACCTGACTCACGATTCCCTCGCCCTGGAGGAAAGACTGTAGCTCCTTCCCGGTGTATTCACCGCCCCCATCGGACTGCAAAATTCGCGCAAAAACTGCTTAATCTTCTCCGCGGCTTCGGATTTGCACCGCAGCAGATAGACGAATGTCATACGAGTGTGGTCACCGATCAATGAGAGAAAATACTTATTTCCGCTGGGCGTACTAGTCATCGGCCCACTCAGATCGGTATGCACTAGATCAAGCTTGTCTGTAGTGCCGCGATCAGCCTGCTTTGGGAACGGAACACGGGACATTTTTCCCTTCAAACAGCATTGGCAAACCGACTTATCACCACAATCAACCAACTTCATCCCCTTCGCATGAACGTTTGTCGGAATCGCCCGGACTACATCGAGATCCCGATGGCCTAGTCGGCGATGCCAGGTATGCTGGCAGTTCAGAGTGTGGGGTGATTGGACACTTAGCAAAGCTTGCTCTGGAGTGCACAATCTGTACAGCCTACCGTGGCGCAATGCCACCGACGTAACCCTTCCTTGCTGGTCTTGAACCTCGCAGCGATCACCATAAAATACCACCTTGAAACCCTTACTTGTAAGTGTACTTACCGAAATCAATCCGCTTGCCAATTTCGGAACGCAAAGCACATCATGCAGCACAATATCAACAGGTTCGTCATCGTTGTTCACACCAACGATCCTTCCTTGGCCGATTCCGGATGACACGGTCCATTCTCCATCTACCAACATCACGCTTATGCCCTTGGTTTCACTGAATGTCTGGAAGAACTTCCTGTCACCAGTCATGTGACGGGATGCTCCGCTGTCGACGAACCACCACGACGGCTCTCCGTGGCCGACCATCCAGGCAAGGGGTCCATCCGCAACACTCGCTTTCTTTGATTTTGCTTCATCGCCTTGCTTCGGCTGGCTCGATTAATCCTGCTTCTTGCCGGAATTCCCAGCAACCTCCTTCTTCCAAGCGTGACAGTTCCGCTTCAAGTGGCCACTCTTCCGTTACTTGCACCACCGCGCTGCTTTCGGAAATCCGTTCGTAAAGCCTTTTCACCACCTCCGCCACCAGCAGCAGATCCGCTTCTCTCTCGCCGCTTTTCAGCCTCGGCGAGCAGCTTTGACTTTACCAAGTCAAGAGTCAATTCGTCGGCTGGCCACTGCTCCAGCACCGTTGCCAGCGGGTCATAAGAGTCAGGAAGCGAACAAAGAAGCATCGCCACCTGCCATTTCTTCGGGATCTCTTCTCCGACATCCGCGATACGTTGGAGCAAATCCGTGAATTGCTGCAGATGTTGCTCCATATCGCCTTCTTCTCCGAGCTCCAATCGTGTGAGCTTCATCAGAAGGTAAACCTCCGAACCTTTATCGTGGTAGTCCTTTAGTGCCCGCCATACTTCCTTGGCACTGGCGCAGTTCCGGACGATGCTGGTTTGACTATCCTCGATGGACAAACAAATCGTGACTCGGGCTTTCATGTCGGCTTTGGTCCATTCCAACTGTCACGGGTTCCGGCTTTTCGTCCGTAATAATGTGCCATAGATCATCTCTAATGAGCATCATCTCGATCTTGAACTTCCAAGACTGATAGTTCTGGTTTTTCAGTCGAGGAAGCGAGAAACGTTGGTGCTCCACCATCTTGCGAAAAAAAAAACTCCTTCGCTCACGGGATCACACCGATCACGCACTTAAAATAAAAACGTAATTAACATTCCGGCACAACGAAAACTTTAAAACTTGTATCGCGGTTATCACTCTGGGCCCATAACCTTTTGGCGGCCAGCGGACAGAGGAACAAACGTCGGGAATCGGATAAAAACCGCGAAGAGAAAATCGTACCGGAGAAAATACTCGTTACAACGTGTTCGTTTTATTGATGAATCTACGCGAAACTGCACCAGTGCATGCGACACCTAGGTTTGAAATCCAAAACCACAAAAGTGACGATGTACTAAAAAATATTCCATACGATTTGACAGCTAGCAAAACGTCATTATCATTTTCACATCATTTCCATCTGCTGGCCGACCGTAACGTAAATTCATCAATAACTGTCACTCGCATGTTAATGATGTTGCCAATGATGATGACGACCAGCATACCAAAAGGGTGTATTCGCGCATAAAACACAAAACATAGCAGTGCTGCCAACACTTAGGACCTAATGCAATGTTCAACTTGAGTTATCAGCTTTTTCATGTTTTTCAAATGATATGAAATGAATGAATTGATCAGCTTAGATGAAATATCATGGCATTCAGACAAATCGATTGGAACTTCCAGTTTATAAAATTTTGTTTCACTTTCTGGCAGAACTGTAGCATAAATGTGGATCATTGCCCATAACAAACAATAATATAAAGTTTCATGTGAAGCGGAGAAAATTGCATCAGATCGATTCGTCAGTTGGCGTGGAACCACCGACAAACCGACATGAATGACCATAACAAAAACAATAAAATTTCGTTTGCGTTTGACGTTTACACACTACCGCCATCTGTTCTGCGTATTACCACAGACAAACAGACGTAACACTTCATTGTGTATCTTCGTTCATGCATTTAACGGTTGATTTGAATATTATCAAACTACTCGCCGCAGCGCTGGCATCGGATCACGTTGACGTTTCTATACATTCTATAGAACTTTTATGCAATATTGTTTGCGAGCTAGCGAGCAAGCTTGTTTTCCGCGAGAAGTCCGCGAGATGTCGTTACTGAGGTCATATGTTTTGAGATACTATGTTTTCAAGAAAAACTTTTTCAAAGAGTTACGTCTGTTTGTCTGTGGTATTACCCACCACAGTATACTCAACAGATGGCGGTAATGTTTTAGCGACGATGTTTTACAGTGAGAAATATTCAATGTGTTATGTCTGTTTGTCTGTGCCTAAACTGTACACCATCCAATTGAAGAATTGGATTTGGACCGCAAAATACCCAATAATGAATACAAAGTAAACATGTTGGAGGGAAACTGGGACTACCCATTAAATGAGTAAAATTTTACCCATATATGAGTAATTACAACTACAAAAACAAGTAGTAAGTATTCATTTTTGAATAAGAACACAGAGAACAGACATGGAGGCTCGAACAAAATTTCTCTGAAAACTTGTGGAAAGGTTCCTATTTGACTTAAGCACCACTAACGGCGACTTCCCCACTTAAAAACCCTCTTTGACAACATGATGGCGCTGGCGTTGCACAAATTACACTAGACACTAAGTGCTAGTAGCGCCAAGTGGCAATTTTCAACAGAAAATGTATCGATACTAGCGCCAAATTGGTCGAAAGTGGAAAATTTAGAGAGAAAATCAGGAGATGCTAACACCACGTAACGGCGACGTTCCCACTTATTTTACACAAGTTTCTGGCCGAGCTTCAACGTCTGTTCTCTGTGGAAATACTCATAAATGGGTAATATTTTTACTCATTTAATGGGTAGTCCCAGTCTCCTTCGAAAATGCTTACTTTGTAGTCATTATTGGGTATTTTGCGGTTACCGTGTACGCGAAACTGCACCAGTGCATGCGACACCTAGGTTTGAAATTCAAACCCACAAAAGTGATGATGTACTAAAAAATATTCCATACAATTTGACAGATAGCAAAAAGTCATTATCATTTTTACATCTTTTCCATCTGCTGGTCGACCGTCACGTAAATTCATCAATAGAGCACACGAAAATAGAGCTAATTGAATTTACATTCTCTCCGCTCATCTCTTCCTCTGAGGATTTCTAATGTATACCTGCCTTGAAGGAACAGTTGCTTTCAACTTTTCACACAAGCTTGTGTACAAACTTGTGCAGAAGTACACAGCCGTTGAAAACTACCCATTGGTGGTTGAAATTTAATATTTTCTGAATTTCAAACATTTAATTTATTGCATTGTTTTTCAAACAAGAGGCGGATTAAAAAGCAGTTTTTTTTTAATAATGAAAAACTTGTACCCCCAATAATAATTTATAACGACAAACTTTGCTTTTCGAAAATGGTAAAATTTCTACCATTAATGACAATTTTCATCAGTCGCGAAACGGCTTTGTACTAAAACTAAATCTGCCACAAGGTTCGTGTACGTGATAAATTAAACATTTCGTAAATACGCGCGCCAAATACGTTGCAAACCACGTGATTAAGGTAAACCGCTATCAAAGCTCAGCTAAAATCCAACCATCAGGTGAATGTTGTTTCAATCGTTTAAATGGTCTCTTTTAGTTGACGAGTACGGGACTATAAAGGCTTGCACGGTTGACATAACCTCACAAAATTTGACATCCGCTGCGGGCAATGTTTACGTTTCAGTGTTTGTTAAAATTGGCTTCCAGAGTGCAGTAAAAATTTGAATCGGACTACTCTTCATGATAAAATTTCTTTAAATTCACCATCAAAATGTAAGTAATCTAAGATACCAATAAAATAAAACAAGAATTAATCATTTCTTCACTCAGATGCTACGATTATCTGACCTCAAGCCGGTATCCAAGCTCTCGGAATACGCCAAGAATCTTCCTCGAAGGTACCCAGACGTTTTCCAACGCTACCTGGACAAAATTAAAGTGATCGGATTCCAAGATCCGTATACGATAAAATTTCGAACCAGCAAACTTCCAACAACTGTGCGGACGGGTAGCGTAATTGACTACCTGATTAATTTCCGATCACCTTACACAGGTGAATACATGAAAAACAGCCGCAATCTTGAAGGTTTTAAAAAATTTGAAGGAGGATTCATCCACTCGGTATGCGGGTTGGTTGTTGGAAATTTCCACGTCGTAGTGGGAAAGGTTATGATTGTGAAAGCTGTTTCACTGCAAACCATAATAACGTTTAATTTTTCAGGTATTCCATTCAATGCGACTCAACGATGCTATGTTAAGTCCTTGGGTCATCGTGGACAAAGACGGTAATGTTGTATCGGCGCACTGCACCTGCATCGCTGGGAATAGCGAAACTTGTTCCCATGTATGCGCACTGCTTTACTATTTAGCAAATCATCACGCGTTATCGAACAATCGCAAGGTATCTTGGTAGTAGTTTAGCAGTAATAGTAACATCGTTTAATTTTAAACTCAAAAACAGATTGACGATTAAGACTTTAAATACAGATGTAGAAGCATTAGCAGATGTTAATAAATATGCATTCACATTTATTTCTTTTCTAGATAACCGTTACAGATGAACCCGCTTACTGGAAACAGCCTCCTAAGAAAGTTCGCGAAGATTTGCTTAAATCAGTAAAAGAAACGGACTACGGAACATCAATCACTAGATTTTATGATATGCCCACCATAAGCAAAGCGAAGTTTCATGATTTTTTGGTAGAACTGAAAGAGGCAAATACTGAATCTGTAGTTTTGAACCGCATATGTGATGGTGTTAATATCACATGTAAACGTTGTGAGGAGAACGAAATTCCTCACCTTTTTTTCACCAACTCTTCTATTTTTCTACAAACCAACTTTGATGTACGCCATGAAAGAAGGACACTTGACGAACTACGACAAATTGGAAGGCAAATAGTTTTAAAACTATCGGAAAATGTTGTTAAGGACATAGAAATGCGCACTCGTCACCAGAGGGAGTCGGATCTACGGCGCTGGTTAAGAATTGGGAGAATTACTGCCTCAGTTCTGAAGGAAGCAGTCAATACTTCCAACGTTGCACCTCCCCCTAAAAAAACGTTGATCAAAAAGATATGTCACCCGTACCTATCAATGATTGACTCACCTGCTTTGGCTTATGGTCGACGCAATGAAGTGCATGCGAGGCGCAAGCTGGAAAAGTTACTGAAGGATCACCAAGGCCTTGTCATATCGGATTCAGGATTGTTTATTTCGTCTACAAAACCTTTCCTGGCAGCCTCACCAGATGTAAAAGGATCATGCAAATGCTGTGGAAAGTTTGTCGTGGAATTGAAGTGTCCATACCGATTGGACTCAAGAAGCCTTCTTGATGAACAGCTTTGCATAAAAGATCTGTGTAACAAACCAAACAGTTTCGTCAAGATCAATTCAGATGATTCAATTAGTATGGCTACGACACACCAGTACTATTATCAGCTTCAGGCACAGATTTTCTTTTCAAATTCAGATTTTGGATTGTTCATGATCTGGAGTAAGAAAGAAAGTGTTCTCATCAGGGTTGAAAGAGATTTGGAATTGTGGAAACATTGCGTAGATCGGAGTCAATTATTCTTCTACAATATTATTCTGCCTGAGTTGCTTCGAAATTATTTCGTAAAAGAGGAGCTGTTGGCAAAATTAACTGATACTAATGCCATACAAAAACGGAATACATGAATGATTCTTGGGAATATAATTAAAGCGTTACTCTACGATTAAGGTGAGATGATTATCGATTTGACTACAATAAATTTCGCAATATTTTTTATTTCAGTTTCAATCACTTACAATCGACTTGTTGAAAGATAATAAAATACACGCAAGGCGTGTAATCAGATCAACAGTGTTACCGTTATTTTCCGAACGTCTCAGAGAATTTACTTGAATTGTCCCATTTAGAAAAGTGTACTTTTCTTTGATTCGTCCAATCATTCTTTCCACGTGAACTCTTAATGATGTGATCTGTCTATCACGTTCAATGTTTAATGGGTTCATTTGAACGTTTTTCCGTAGAAAAGTGGGTATATTCAGCGTTGCTCCTCTTGATTCTATAAGATCGGCGATATCGAAACCTTTATCAGCTAATATAACATCATCCGGCTCGATAAGTTCTAAGAATCCTGACGATACAGTAATAAATCTGTCCGAGCAACGTCCCACGTATGCGTTGGAGACAAAAGCCACGCTACCATCTGCTGCCATTACTATCAAAAACTTTGTTGTAGACGACATCTTATACGCGCTATGGTGCGCGTTTGCTGCTTTTGGGATACCAGGTCGCTCGGTGCGAACTTCGAAGCAATCCATCACCAACACCCTCCTGTTCCCATAGTAACGCTTGAAGGCCTGCGGAGTATGCCGTATGATTATTTCCTTTGGCGGAGGTTCAAGAACGTATTGTAAACAATCATGCATAACTTTTACAGTTCGATGAAAATATTTAGATGCTGTGTTCACACATATAGCGTAATCATCAGCCAGATCAATGAATGGTGTGTTTCTCCGTAGCTTTCTTAATGTCATCACGAATATTTCTTCTTTAGTCAATTCGCAAGAGGCTTGGAATAAATAAGGCTTCACAAAGCCATATATTTTTTTCAGTACGGCATAGGAGCTTATTCCTGTATATCGGTTATATTTTTCGTCATCTTTCAGCCAGGCCAACCCTTTCTGGTACTTATTCAATTCCGCAGAGAGGTAATTGATGCGTTCATACTGTCGTTGGAGTTCTTGGCGGTAGTGCGGTATTAGCATACAATTTCCGCAGGCTTGCTTCTCGGGCACGATTGTGTTGGGATCTTGGTTTTCACCAGTTGCTGTAATACGAACAATTCACTGCAATTAAATATTTCAATTAATTTACAAATGACTGCTTACCATTTGAAGCTGTTATTTTTTCGTCGCTAATCCTCCTTTGTTTAGGGGAACTATGCACCGCTCTAATTTGATGCCCACACTCCATGAGATCTTCAGCAAACTCGTAATACTTCACAATATCGTCATCACCTAACGATGTTTGTGTAGATGACCAATTCGAAGATCATTCTATTTTTTTCTAGCAGCAGCATAAGGCCGTCACTATTAACATATACTGTTTAGGAGTATACAACAAAAGAAATTACAATTACAATAAATAAGGGAAAGGATTTACCATCTGCATGCGGTCGTTTAATGCCTCTTATATTGGAAACCTGACCGTTACGTCGATTCTCTTGGACAGGATGAACCATAGGACAATCAACAACGCTTGACACTGAGCCTACACGGCTACTGCCTTCTCCCGAACTCACTTTTGCAGCGCAATGCTTTTCTGATATCGTAGATGGACCAGATGGATCATCTGTATTGTAGAGTATCTCTTCCTTAACTCTTATTTTTGGGTCCTCCACTATGTCAACACTGTTGTTGGTGCTAGAGGCAGAAATCGCATCTAACCTAGTTCTGGAAGTAGAACTTTCTGATAAGATGGCCGCATCACAAACACTGGACTCTGAGGTGCTTTTATCCTTGGTCTGTTGAGTGGAGTTGTTGATGGCTTGTAAATTATGCAGAGGCAGGTTCAATGATGGTACCCAGTCCACATTGGAACTATCGGTGAGGTTTGCAGCAGCACCTAAGTTGAATCAAGGAATGATTAAAATTTCAGCGGCTGTTGTATTTTCTTCATTTATAGCATACCTGACACAAAATGCAAATTACAAATATATTTGTCTTTAGGGTTGAATAATTGTCGAAATTCCAGAACAGAAATCCAGCACCTCAAACGTTCTTCGATCAGAGCTTTTGGTAATCGGGGTTTCAAGCATGGAAATCGAAAAAAAACGCGAGTTCACAGTCCGCATCGTGCTCTCTTGCCGTGCGGATCTATTTGCTTTTTGCTTAAGGAAGTGTTACTACTACCTAAAGCTACAACAAATTTAAACAGCACTTTTCAGTGCTCAACCTGTAAAAATTTTCTACCTTGTTCAACTCCTCTTATTCCTCTTCGATCCTTGTTTGGACCCTACCCGAGGTAATCCTTCTTGGATATCGATTTGGAAAATTCCTCTTCGATCCTTCAGATTCTTATAGTAATCTGCTTGGAAGTCGATTTGGATAAAAAATTTGCTGCCGCCATGGCGCCTCAACGCAAAAGAAAGGGGCAAACTCTTGACCCCCCTTCTGAAGAAATTAATTTGAGTTATCAATTTGATTTGCTCACGGGTGATGAGAATGATCCATCATCCAAGAAAAATTCTAGTAAACTTTCCCGGCTTAATGCCAAGAAGGAAAAGATTCCCCATATTGTGCTAACTACTACCGATTTCCATGCTCTTCGCATGGAACTTTTGAATTTCGTGAAAGTTAAGTTTTCACTGCAAATTGGACGTCGGGGTGAATGCCGTGTATTGGCTGAAACCTTGGACGGATTTAAATGTCTTCTCAAGTATCTTACTGAGAAGAAGCACAAATTTTTTTACTTACGACACCAAAACTGAACGTGTGTTCAAGGTTGTCATGAAAGGACTGCCCAGTGGTGAATCCCTGGATCAGATCAAAGATGAACTGGCAAAATTACTTGGAATTACTTGAAAATGAAATCCCGTCCTGGCGATTCGCGCAACGGCATTTCTAATGATTTTTATTTAGTTCACTTCAAGTCTAGTGAACTAAACAACCTTAAGGCCTTAGAAAAAGCTAGCCTTATGCTCCATGTCCGAGTGAAGTGGGAACACTTCAGGAAGACTGGAGGAAATTTCCAAAACCTCACTCAGTGCCGTAAGTGCCAGGGATGGGGTCACGGAACTAAAAATTGCTACATGCCAGCTAAATGCATGAATTGTGGTGATTCCTCTCACGCAAAGGACGACTGTCCTGTGAAGGAAGATCCTAAGAAATTTAAATGTTCAAATTGTGGTGAAAACCACAAATCCAATTTTTGGGAATGTAAGACTCGCAAAGCGATCCTACAATCTCGTTCTAACCGACAGGTAGGAAACGCTCCACGTTTCCGACCAGGTACAAATTCCTCTGCTGTTAACAACGGTCAGCGAGGAACAAATTCTACATTCGTACCCGTAGGTACAAATATCACCCCTGCTTCAAATGTTTCATCTGTACCTACTCCCCTCGCTGCTAACAATGTTCAGCGAGTTAATGGAGCTACCTATTCTGCTATTGCAGCGGGTAGAAATCAAAATACTAACCAACGTTCTAACGGAAATTTTGACAATTTTGACTTAGGAAGCATTACTGCTCCTAAAATGGAATTTTTACAGAATTCATTAATTGACATGATTTCTGATATGCTTAAATCTAACTCCATGTTTGATGCTATTCAAACTGGAGTAAAATTTGCTAATAATATTGTCATGACTTTAAAATTCAGTAATGGATTTTAAAGCATTAAATATTGTAAATTGGAATGCTCGATCTCTTAAAGATAATGAAGATGAGCTATTTAACTTTTTGCGAGTTCATAACGTGCATATTGCCGTTATAACTGAAACGTTCCTTAAACCTGACCATAAGGTTAAGAAGGACGCAAATTACTTGATTTATAGAAATGATCGTCTTGATGGACCCTGTGGTGGCGTTGCCATCATTATTCATAGACGAATCAAGCATAAAATTCTATCTTCATTTGAAACCAAAGTTTTTGAAACTTTGGGAGTTTCTGTTGAAACAAAATTTGGACAACTTACGTTTATAGCTGCCTATTTGCCATTCCAATGCGTAGGCCAGAAAAAGAATTTTCTCAAGGGTGACCTCCAGAAACTTACCCGTCATAGGTCTAAATTCTTCATTATTGGTGATTTTAATGCAAAACACCGCTCATGGAATAATGCTCAAAGCAATTCCAATGGTAATATTCTGTTTGATGATTGTTCTGCAGGTTATTACACTATTCAATATCCAAACAGCCCAACATGCTTTTCTTCTGCAAGAAATCCCTCAACTATTGATTTGGTCTTAACTGATTCATGTCATCTTTGTAGCCAATTGGTTACCCATGCTGACTTCGGTTCTGATCACCTTCCAGTAACTTTTGAAATATCCCAAGAAATAATTTCTAATCCCAACAGCTTTACTTTCAATTACCATAGAGCTGATTGGGAGCTATATCGAACATTTATGGAATATAACTTCGATCCAAACATTCCTTTGCAAACCAAAGATGAAATTAATTATGCTCTTGAATCTCTGACTACTTCTATAGTTGAAGCAAGAGCTGCCTCAGTACCAAAATGCGAGGTTAAATTCGATTCAATTATAATAGACGATGATCTTCAGCTCTTGATCCGTCTTAAAAATGTCCGTAGGAGACAATTTCAAAGAACACGCGATCCTGCCATGAAAGTTATCTGGCGGGATTTGCAAAAACAAATTAAAAAGCGATTCTCTGCCCTGAGGAACAAAACTTTTGAAAATAATGTTTCTAAATTAGACCCGAGTTTCAAACCCTTTTGGAAACTCACAAAAATTTTGAAAAAGCCTCAAAAGCCTATTCCAGCGCTTAAAGAAGGTGGTAAAATTTTGATCACAAATTTGGAAAAAAGCTCAGAAACTTGCTAAGCAATTCGAGAGTTCCCATAATTTCAGTTTGGGTCTTACTAGTCCTATTGAGAATCAGGTTGCTCGGGATTTTCGGAATATTTTCTCTCGGGAAAATATTTTTGATGATTCCTGGGGGACTGATTTGGACGAAGTAAGGTCTATAACTAAAAAGTTTCAAAATATGAAAGCTCCAGGTGATGATGGAATTTTCTATATCCTCATCAAAAAACTCCCAGAGAGTACCTTGTCTTTCCTGGTAAAATTATTTAACAGATGTTTCCATTTGGCATACTTTCCTGATAAATGGAAAAATGCAAAAGTTGTTCCAATTTTGAAGCCGGATAAAAATCCAGCTGAAGCTTCTAGCTACCGTCCAATAAGTTTGCTTTCTTCAATAAGTAAACTTTTTGAAAAAATAATTTTGAATAGAATGATGCTTCACATCAATACGAACTCAATTTTTGCAGATGAGCAGTTTGGATTTCGCCATGGGCATTCAACTACTCATCAACTCTTGAGAGTTACCAATTTAATTCGTTCAAACAAATCTGAAGGCCACTCAACTGGAGTTGCTCTTCTAGACATAGAAAAAGCATTCGACAGTGTTTGGCATGAAGGTTTGATTGCTAAATTGAAAAAGTTTAATTTTCCACTTTACATTATGAAATTAGTTCAAAATTATTTAACTGACAGAACTCTGCAGGTAAATTATCAAAATTCCAAATCTAATCGACTACCTGTTAGAGCAGGAGTTCCTCAGGGTAGCATTCTTGGGCCTATATTGTATAACATTTTCACTTCGGAGCTCCCTGATGTGCCTGAGGGTTGCCACAAATCTTTGTTCGCTGATGACACAGGCATTTCCGCTAAAGGAAGAAGTCTTCGTGTTATTTGCAGCAGACTTCAGAAAAGTTTAGATATTTTCTCTTCTTATTTACAAAAATGGAAGATTTCTCCCAACGCTTCCAAAACTCAACTTATAATATTTCCACATAAGCCCAGGGCTTCCTTTTTGAAACCTAGTAGTAGTCACATAGTCACTATGAACGGAGTTCCAATTTCCTGGTCAAACCAAGTGAAATATCTTGGATTAGTTCTTGACCAAAAATTAACTTTTAAAGATCACATTGAGGGCATTCAAGCCAAATGTAACAAATATATAAAATGTTTGTATCCTCTTATAAACAGGAAATCCAAACTTTGCCTGACGAATAAACTTCTAATATTTAAACAAGTTTTTAGACCGGCCATGCTTTACGCTGTGCCAATATGGTCTAGTTGTTGCACTACCAGGAAAAAAGCACTTCAAAGGATTCAGAACAAAATTCTGAAGATGATTTTGAAGTTGCCTCCCTGGTACAGTACTACCGAAGTACATAGAATTTCGAATGTTGAGACTTTAGCACAAATGTCCAACAAAATAATTAATAATTTCCGGCAAAAATCGTTACAATCCTCAATTGCAACGATTAATTCCCTTTATACTTAGATAAGATTTAGTTTTAGTTTTTAGTTTTAAGATATCAATTGTTATACTGACATGCAGGTTTAAAAAACCTGTTTAAAATACTGAATTGCCAAGACAGGAACAATGTAAAAACACTTAGATATATATCATAACAATTAAGGCTGGTAAGTTACTGTAGTAACTGTAAGTTACTGTAGTAACTGGAGCACCTAGGTTAAAAATGAAATGTAGTTTATTTTGAACTTGGAACAAATAAAGAGTTAAAAAAAAAAAAAAAAAAAAAAAAAAAAAAAAAAAAAAAAAAAACGCGAGTTTATGGTTAAATGCGTGGATTTACAACCCGGCACTACGCACTTCTTTGTCATTTTTCTCGAAATACTTCGCAAAATCACTGGACAAATTAAAATCGACCGTACTTGTTTAGCCGGAGGCAAAGCGGTGAAAAAAATTTTGACATTCGCTGCGGTCAATGTTTGTAAACATTGCCCGCAAGTTTTTTTTATTTCTTCACGCGGTGACGTCACCGTGCAAGCCTTAATAGTCGCTATATTCATAGTCTGGCGGATAGAATTTCGATTTATCATAAAGCGGAACCAATTTAATATATTTTAGACCAACAATTGAAAAGGTACTATGAACGTTGATTATTCTTTCCACGCCAATCGAACGCAAATTACCGGCATCATCGGTTAGGGGAAACTTTCCTCAACCCAACGATGGTGTCAGTTTGCGTACACGGCGAATGAGAACGACTCATATTTGAGTTTAGTTTACTCATAATCGCCAAAAGTGCAGGAACTCAGCGATGAGTTAATTTGCCTCATGTTTTCCCAGGTTTGTCCAGGCTTTTCCTGGGAAAAATTCCCGAATTTGAGAAAAGTAAAGATTGGATTCACTCAGTCTATTGGTACTACTCCGTGGCTGAATAAAATTTTCGTCAATTTCCTCATTTTCCGGCTGATTTTTTAGGTTTTCCACAGGAAACCATGAGACAAATTTCACTCATCGCTGAGTTCCTGCACTTTTGGCGATTATGAGTGAACTAAACTCAAATTTGAGTCGTTCTCATTCGCCGTGTAGGCGAGCCTTGAGTAACGAGAAAAGGGTTGCCGAAGTTTTGTTCGCAATAGCTGATGTGCTCTTTTCTGTTGTTGGCCGTGATTTGCTCGATTGGTTCGGCTATTTGACAGCTCAATTGGTTCCCGAGATTGTGTATCCGCCAGACTATGAATATAGCGACTGTAGTACGGGACAGCCCAGTTGTGGTCCAGAAGGCTGTGATATGAAACACTTAACTCCTGTACAGTTTTACTATGTGTCCCCGTTTTTATTTAATGTACGATTTTGTATCTTTTCTCTTAAATACGTTATAATACGTAATACAATTCTTATTTACCTGCTCTACATTTAACCTTTTAACGATACACTAAACAAGCTCTACGTTTGCAACATTTGCTACGCGCATTTTCAATGTGTTCATGTCAATCGAGTAAACCCTTAACTTCTTAAGTATGGTTCTGGTTTAGGTATAAGGAAGCGTCGTTTAATGTAGAATTTCATACTCAATATGCCGATAGAATTATGATGGATTAATTTGAAACATGTTTTAGAGCTACGTTTCTAACGATGTTAACTTAACGTGGTTAAAATTTATTCAACATTTCCGTTCAACGTCTAACTTTTACCCTAATGGAGATTCTTAACAATACAAGAAAACACAAGCAAGTTGGAAGCGAACTATGGTAATTGCTCGAGCGATTCTTAGTCCTAACTGTCTAACGATTGATAATAAACTTTGCCCTTTTGGCATGGGCCTTCAATAACGGCATCAAACTTTTCAAAGCTAGTTGATCGAACTTTGCTATCGCTTGCCCCGGCGGCAAGCGGACAAACTCGATTCAATGCGTGCGTTTTGCTGGTAGGTAGGTACTTACAAGCGATTGCTGGCTGGCACGAATGCTGCTTTACCGTGGCGACGAGTAAAGCAGATTGTCCAGGTTAAGCTTGTTCTTGTTGGGCAAGGGTGCACCGTGGCCCGGCCGGCCCCAGAATGAGGTCCACGTGTCAAAGTGCTGTTGGCTGGTTTCGAATTCCGCCATTCGGCTGGTTTCCATCTGCCGTTGCTTCTGGTTCATCTGATGGCACAGGTCGTGCAAGTATTGATCACCCAAGTGTCGTGCAGCTGCGCTGAAAACAGTGGAAGAGATGGTCGCGCAGTTAGTTCCGAACAGTGTTCCCTTAACCGCTAAAACTTATGGCAGTACTAGATTGGGATTTGCTGATTTTTTTTTTACTAGATTGTATGTGTGTTGTGCCGTAGCTGACCGTGGTAGGGATGATAGTTTACCCATTGGAGCTGTACTTATCGATTTTGGTTACGTCGGTCGTCCCGAGGCTGATCGGTCTCGGTTGCGAACGGCGTTTGGCCAGCAAGGGAACCAACTCGACACCGCCCGTGATCATACAGTTCCGGGTCGGCGCAATTCTGCTACCACGTTTGACAACCGGGGCCCGCCCCGGAGTGGTTTGCTGATTCTGCTGGCACATCCGTGGTACACGGCGGTCGGTAATCTTGTCGGTGCTCGGATTCGGCTCGTACCGCATCTGTTGGCTGGGTGCCGTGGCTGGCGGCGATAGGAGCGCTTTCGGAGGGCTTACGATTGGACGGGACGCCGCTTGGGCACTTCCCGTGGAGACCGGTTCCAAACTGTTGCTGACGCACTGGCACACGCACCGGGAGCAACAGTTGGAGAACTTCTTCAGATATTTGTTCTCCTCTTCGAGCTGCCGTTGCATCCTGGTGACGATGTCGATGTCCAAATCCTGGAGCGTTTCCTTATTGGTCCAACCCTGTGGGAACATGGGAGGGGGAACCGAATTAGGAAAATTCTCATGAAATTTGCGTTTAAAGGCATTGTTTACGTTTGGTTGTTTCGCCTATTTCAATTGTTGATAGATTTAGAAAGTGAGGATAATTTTTGGCTGGAGCAACAGTGAGGACAACAAACTTCGAACTTTAAAATAGGATTACTCAACGTCCGATAGATCAATAAAACAATATTTATTTAAAATTAACAACTCACCATCGACTTCATGAAGTTGTACCCGACATTCTTCGGTGGTCGCCATGGCTTTCCTCCCGGTCCCGCTTTACCCCAAGGACCTCCATTCTAAAAACCAAAAATATTTATCATTTTCAAACGAAAATCAACATGTCCACCTCTCCAGCTCACCTTGGCCTCCGACTCGGAACTCCTGGTCTTCCGCAGTCGGTTTTCCTTCTCGGCCACAATCCGGTCCAGCTCCGCTTTGTACTGTTGCTTCTGCGCTGCCGACGTCTTGTAGCGCAGATCGTTGTCCACGTGGTACCGGTTGGCATCGTTGAAGCTGATAATCGGATCGTCCGTCAGACCTGTCACAATCTGCCCGGAGGCATTCCGCAGCGGTGCTCCTCCACCGCCGGCACTAACCCCCTTGGCCGCCGCCCTCGGCATCGTTGCCATCGGTTGGCGAAAGTCCTGCTGACAGGGTCGTGATGGTCGTGACCGTCGAACAGCAGGAGCAGTTACAGCAGCGTGCGAAACAGGAACAACGGTGGGAAGCTATAGATTTTAGCAAATCGATCGATTCACTTGAAAAAGGGGGTACATTTGGTGTGGGTTCCCTCGACTAGGGGGGCACTAAATACACTAACATTTAAAATGGCATCTAAGCTAGTAGATTGAACCTACATTTTTCGACTCCGGGTAGATTCCCTGCAGTTGGATGTTCCGTATGCGGACCGTGTCGTTTGGGGCGCCGCCCCCCTTCCGGCCCCACGGCGAGTAGCGCTCCATCACTTCTCGGTACTGGAAAAGGGGAAACTGGCATAAGACTGTCGGGTCAATTAAAGGCGGGCTGTCTTCCGTGACGATGCGCGATTCAATCGTGAGATAGTGCAGTGAGATGTACTGTGTATAGGATTCTAAATGCGATTTAATTCAATTGTCAGTAGGTGTTAATGGGTGGGCTAGGGGGCTAGGAAGATGGTGTGAATGATATGATCAAAACAAATCAATTTCTTCGGAAGGCTGGAAAAAAGGGCATTCCACGGCATACCTATACCTAGGTAGCTCATTTGAGAATAATCATCAACCGAAGTAGACCGATTTTTGACGTGACAGACGGTATTTGAATTCATCCGGGTTTTGGCACGTGGTGGCAAAACCGGAACTCAAGCAGCTCTAAAAATTGCATTTGATGTTGTAGATGATCCTGATAGCTTCGTATCCCGGCAGTAGTTCTCTGATTTCCCTGACAACGAACATCCAACACAAGCTTGAGCATCGGAGCCGGTTCCTTAGGGGCGTTTTCTTAAGGTTCCCGATGAGATCCTATAGGAGGTGAGAACAGCGGTGCCACCGATGCCACATTCGTGAGCAAGAGGCAACAGTCTGTAAGCTTTTTAAACCGGCAGATTTCATTGTTGTTGCATTTTCCATTGCATTTTATTTGGTTATCATGAACTGTATCTAATTTTTAGACCACAGATGTTAATTTTCATTAGAAAAGTTTGAAAATTAATGTATATTGACAAGACACAAAATTACAGGAACGGAGTAGCATTCCATGACTCTGTGTATCGAGCATTTTTAGGCAGAGAATAGACCATTTTAATGCACCACCCACGTAGAAGGCACCACGCGAGTTCGAGAGGAAACGTCAACCAAACCGTTTGTTTGCATCAGAAGAAGGATTTTTCACAACGTAAGTTAAAGCATTTTTCATTGAACATCTTGCCAATTTCCATCAGTAATTGATACAGAATTAAAATTTCCAACTATAGATCAAATTTTCGAGCATCTCAGATGAATCAAATTATCAGGAAAAGTGAGAAAGTGTTCCGCTTCCAATGTCTCACGAGAAATTTCTGTGACTCCTCAGATAAGGACCTAAGAGCTAAGGCTTCAGGGAACGGTAGTCCTACGGATTCCATCAGTCAGTAGTTAAATAGATCTCCCTCTTGAATTGTTACAATCTGCTCGTCTCATTCCTTCTCATTGCCAACCAATTGGCGTTGACGGCACCGTCGAAAAATTTGCACTTCCAGCAAATTTAGACAGTTTCTTAGTGGGAATTTTCGGTGGAGTGAAAGGATAGTACAAAGTCCGCCATGTTTCACGCACAGTCTGACGTTTGCTTATGGATTTTTCCATAGGAGTAAAGAGCTACAGAGTCGCCGTCAACGCCAATTCAAAAGGTGGTTTACCAGGGTTTCTCTAGCCGAATAACGGAAGGCAAGAATAGTGAGTCGTTCATAGATGGTTGTGCAAACGGCAAGGAGTGGTCACTTTACACACTTATTTAGCACCAATTTTTTTCTCACTGTGCTTCAGTGTGCCGCAACTGTGTCGGCAGTGCCGAAAAGTAATTGAACTGACTTTTGTTTGCTTGTGAATAATGCTGTGTTTGGCAACCCGGTATTTTTACAGCTCTTGTTGTTTGTCGAAGGAATAATTCAACAGTTCCAGCTGTCCAGATGTTGGATGTCACTCAAGACTCAAGAGAGTACAGTAGTTGATTGATGTAGGTATGGGTTACATTCGAGGAATTACCTGCCATTGAAATGGGTTTTCACATTTTCAGCTACAGAACATTAACGAGTTCTACAAACAACTGCACCAAACGGAGACGGCCTTTTCTGGGGCCTCCCGTCGAACGGTCGTGATCGCCATCAAGGACGGTCACTTTGAGTTTGAAACACAAAGCATCCGCAAGGAGCTGGGCATCGCCCAGGAGGGCATTGTTGATTTCCGATTTCTCAATTTGAACCTTCAAATACGGTAAGTAGACCATTTATGTCTGGGAAGATTGGATAATTTCACATGCACTTGGTGGCATTTTCGATCATCTATTCCGGATTGATGAACACCTCCGGTGGTATCCATTGGCTGTATTGGGAACAATTATGTCTTTTCAGCACCAATCTTTAGTGGACTGACAGACATCTCGACGTATCTGTTGACCAAACATTTGTGGTCAACCGGTGTCGGTCTGTTTGTCGCTAGCTTTATTTTCATCGTTTCCGAATAAAGACTGGACTCGGAAAAAAATGAGAGACACAAAAATGATCACCAAAAATTCATTTTAAATCGGATACTTCTCAAATTTTCAGGGATTAAATAACTATATATTAGCTATGTTTTGGCATAATTTATTTATTGCATTTCCTCCCCCAAGCTGAATGCTCGTACATTTCTCTTAACACTGCTCATGAGATCTTGGGCGAGGCTTTGCCCATCTTCCTTACACAATTTCTCCCAGTTTTTCTTCAAAGCTTCATCGGTTTTGAATGTTTTTCCGCTTTTCTTCAACTTCTTCTTCATTATCGCCCAAAACTTTTCGATCGGACGAAGTTCTGGTGTATTTGGCGGGTTCGCCTCCTTCGGGACCACATTAACGCCCTTCGCTTCGTACCAATCCATTACAGGCTTGGCGTAATGGCACGAAGCGAGATCCGGCCAGAACAGCGTGCGACCACGGTGAGAGCGGAGGAAGGGCAGCAAGCGCTTCTGCAAGCATTCCTCTCGATAAATCTGCCCGTTTATGGTGCCAGTTGTAACGAACGGCTTGCTGTACAGTCCGCACTCGCAGATCGCCCGCAACAACAGGTACTTCTTCGCGAATTTGTCCATCTTTCTATTCCGGAACTTTTCCGGAACCTCCATGCGGGACGTACCGACAAAAAACTCGGGGATTTGTTTGGTGTCCGCCTTGATGTATGTCTCATCGTCCATGACGAGACAGCCTGGCTTGACCAGCCACTCACGCTACAGCTTCCGCGCACGCAATTTGGCCACCGTGTTTTGCTTGTCAGTCCGGTTTGGCGCCTTCCTGACCTTAAAAACACGTAGCCCAGCCCGTTTCATGGTCTGCTGAACGAACCACTGCGACGAATTGAACTTTTTGGCCACGTCTCGGGTGGAAAGGTTCGGGTTATTCTTAAAGTACTGCCTTATCTTCCGCGCCTTCTCTGGGTATTCCGTTTTCGGGTTTCGGCCGCTTCCAGCGCACCGCTCGATGGTCTTCGTCTCCTGAAACATCTTCACAACGTGGGACATGGTGGAATGGTTGATTCCAAGCCTTTTGCCGATCCATCTGTGTGACTGACCAGGATTATCGATCACCGCGCCCAAGATTTACTGGCGTAGCTCTTCTTGTTTCGAATGCATCTTGAAAACTACTTGGCAGATCGCGATAAAATTTTGCACACATATACATAACACTCTAAACTAGTACTACCCAAAATTTCATTAATTTTTACCCACGTGATAAAAAGTTACACCCAAGTGTCGCATTTTTTCAGACCCATTGGGGTAAGAAAGCAGTCACGCTTACCACTACACCACCGGTTCCGGCAATCTCGTGTTTCAATTTCAGATACCGCTGGAAATGTGGTGGAAGGTGAATCTGTTTTCGTTCTGAAATGTTGACGCATGTACACTGCGCAAGCACAGAAAAAGTTCAGTGTTGCCAGTAACTTTAAAGATCAGAAAAATTATGACCATGGGTGCCAAACAGTGCCAATGACTGTGCCCAGGTGTGCCCAAGCTAGTTTTTGGCACACTGTGCGGAGTGACCAACCCCCTGGCACAGACAAACAGACATAACACATTGAATATTTCTCATTGTAAAACATCGTCGCTAAAACATTACCGCCATCTGTTGAGTACACTGTGGTGGGTAGTACGCTGAACAGATGCCGCTAGTGTGTAAACGTCAAACGCAAGGGAATTTACTATGCGCGCATCAGGTGGCAGTACTACCAACTGAGATAGTTTCAAATTGACCGTTAAATGCTTGTTCAATGAACAAATTATAAGGAATTATGTCAGTTTGTCGGTGCCCCTGGTAAACGATGCGTTACAGTTACGGGAGTTCCACGACTGTAAATTAATTCTATGCAATTTGGCTATTCGAGTTCGTTTCATTTAGCTAGTTTTTCGTATCAGCTCATTTGGTTTTGTTGTTTTACTAAATTCAAATTAATTTAATGTATAGGAGCAATTGTAGGAAAATTGGAACATCAAACAAATATTTAACAAAAACAAAAAGGGCTACTGTTACTGTTTTATGTCGATTAAAACGCGGTACGAACAGTTTACTTGACCTTTATTCAGGATAGATCCGAACACCTTCTCTTACTACTCAGTAATCAATAATGACAAAATGGTGGAGCCAAGAGGATTAAAAACTAGGGGTGTGCAAATACTATAACATCCTCCTCACTTTAAATTAGTTAATTAAATTCAACTTGGTAATCCTTCAAATTAGTTGGTAAGCGTGTTGCTCTTCTTGGTCGGGATCCACTCACGGTTGGCTTCAGAATCTGTTTCGGTGACTCACAAATAGGTGGCGCCACATCTGGTACTTGTGACACCTGCGACTGCACCAACCTTCTTGGCGGCGACTGATCAATTTCCGCATCAACAATTGGCGTCTTGCAGTGAAACTTTTCCAAGCTTTCGCCACCTACATTTCGAAGTGAGAACTACTAGAAGGAGGATAGTTTCCAAATGTTCCAAGTAAAACAGACGCTTTTTGGGGTAAATCGGTCCACTCAGTGCTAACATTTGAAAACGGCGCAAAAGCCATTTGTAAACAAATGGTTTGTGGGCCCTTTACTCGCTACCCGAAGAACGCCCACGCAAACCAACAGCATCGTCAGGAAGGGGAAAATTTCCCCTACCCGATGTTGCTGTTGTGTCGCGTGGGTGTACTTCAAGTAGTGAGTAAAGGGCCCACAAACCATTTGTTTACAAATGGCTTTTGTGCCGTTTTCAAATGTTAGCACTGCACTGATAATTTC